TGTAGTTTTCATAGCAGCCCCTGGAATGGAGCAGCTCCAACAGATGTATAATCACTTCAGATCAACAGAACATCTAGTCGCAACCTCACGGTATGTATTTTGTAAAAAATAAATCTAATGTATGCTTGTTGTTGTTAAAATAAAATAGCTAAGATTTTTAATGTGCAGTTTGCATTTCAAATAAAAATTGTTAATGATTTTTGAAAAAAATAACGAGCATTTTAGATAATTTTTTAGGTGTCTGAACTTGAATTCAGAATTTTGCTTGTGATGCTGCAGAATTTTATAAATTTGATAAAATTAATAATGCATTTTGATATTAAAATTTTGCATTAAATCGTTTGTTGACGTCGATTAGTGCATCTATACTTCTGTACTCTTTATGAGAGCTGAAAATAGTCTTATTTTTTTTATTTATTAGTCAAATTTTGAATGAGCATAATTCATAAGTTTTTATAACATATTCTATGTCTTTGATGTACGTGCAATAAACTCTCTTTTCTCATAGATGCAAAAAATAAGGCTGCCAATAATTTAATAATAATTACTAATCTAACTCATTATTAATTTTTAAACAATTTAAATATTGAATGAATATGATTTGTAAATCATTATAAATAATTATCTATGCATGATATATCTAAAAATATAGATAATTGTATATATTTATCATAAATGAGGCCTGATTGTTATATTGCATGGTCAAATTTTAATAATATTGAGACTCAGAGATATATAAGTTGAATAAAATTTGAATGAATTTCTAAGATAATATTTGCATATAGAATAGATTAATTTGTATAAATGTTGCATGTGTTATGTTTTTTGTTAATTGTTTGTTTCATGTGGCATGCCATGAGCAGTTTGACAGACAAAGTTCCATCAGATACAGTTCGAGAAGGGCCAGGACCCTTGAATCTCTTGCTTCTTTGTACGAGGTAGAAATTATTGAAAATAATAAAATAATACCCATAAACGGTATTTGACTAACTACGTTTACCCAAAACCATTACTATATTCATTACTTAGCTTTCTATAGGCCGATTTTTTTGTTTTACATCCAAAAAAAATTAGGAAAACAAAAAATCTGTATTTATAAATAATAAAGGCAATATATGCAAACGCAAAACAAAATCTCTGTTTTGAACAAAATTTGTGTTATAAATAAACTATTTGACTCTTCCAAGTCACAGCTTATAATGTTCGGTATGAAAATGTTATTCAGGTTCAAAAGCCTAGCCAAAATTATAGATATTAATATTGGTTGTCTTGATAATATTGTAGGATAAAGATTTATGCATAATTTCACAAAAAAAATATAATTATTCATTAAAATATAAAAATAATTAGAATGTGACTTGAAAGTTATGAGGTCCCTAGAGTGTTAAGATAGTCAGCTCTTTCTGCTAGAAAAATATAGCAATTGTCTTTGTTTTTGATAAATATTTTTGTTCATAAGAGTAATAGGATGATAGTTTGCAAAAAAGTTAGTGATCTACTAAAATTAAGTTCCATCTTTTTTATGGCAAAATTAGGGGGTGTCCATTAATCACGTGAGCTTTTTAGGGGGACAGGGGGTTTGACAAAAAATTAGAAATATCATGTGGGGGAAGGAGAGGTATAGTAAGATATCACGTGTATTCATTTTTTTACCTGATTTTTTTTAAACAATCCAAATATTTAAAAAAAAATCAAACATTTAACCATTTTTTCTCGTAACTAAAATACAGGTGATGGTTTGGTAGGAGAAGGGGGGTAATTTTGAATAACACCATCAATCACAAAGGGGGAGGGTGGTCCAAAAATCTTTAAGAAGTGGAACACGTGATTAATGGACTCGCCTTTATGTGAACATCGTATGTATAAAACGCTATTTTGAGATATTTTTGTTATAAAACATTATACTTGTTTAAAATATTTTTTAACGAAATGAACTTTCCATAACTCTTAAATAAAAATATATTCCCAATAAACAGTATACCTGTTTAAAGTATAAATTTGAATATTTGCAACATTACATAATATTATGATTATTTAATTTGCATGATTGAACTTGAAAATTCAAATATTAACAAAAGTTGGCAAATTATAAATAGTTTTGCAAAATGTGCAGCTTGTTTGATCAAGTGCGATACAATTATGCTTAGTTGGCAATGTAATAAAAGTGGGTCAAATTTGATCACATGGTTCTACTATGGTTACTATCAAATCAGGGGCTTCCAACAAACAGTCCAAATGTTGATGTATTGATGAAAATAAGTTAATATCGCAGAAGAAAATTTTTGCTAAAATTAAAATTTAGTAATATATTGCATACTGACTTTTATTAAAGCACTGAGCATTTATTAAAACTTGCAGTGATATGAATTTTAATAAATTTTTCTATAAATAATATTTTCCTTTCTTTCATATTTTTTTAAGAACAAGAGTAATTCAATGTCTGATTATTTAATTAAAAAAACAGTAAATTGAATAATTTTGTAAAAAATAGAAATATCATTTTTCATTTTACAATAAACCCCGCCGTGGTTTCCAGACTGTGGGGTGCTCAGAGGGCGTACAGCTGTTTCCAAAATACTATATCAAAAATAAAAAAAATGTAATTATATAAAAAATTTAACAAAAAAATAATTATTTTTATGCATATTTTTATATACTATTGCATATTAATTTGTATCCTGATAATACTAGTTTAGTATTTATGAAACGAAAAGGATGAAAAATCAAAGGAGCGCAACATTTTTTTGGTAAAACGGGGATAGGGCTGAGCGAAAAAGGTTGTAAACCACGACTTTTATTACTATATACATAATAAAAAATATTATTTCATATATTCGATTTATCCAAGTGCAAAATAATTTTACAAGAGTTGGTCATACCTGATATTCTGTACCCATTTAATTTGTAAGCGATTACACAGATATGAAAACTTAAAAAAATTTTAACATCAATCAGACTCTAGTAAAAGATAAAAGTTACGGCACAGGTCAAGATCGTCACTTCTATACTGAGGTCATCAATTAATTGCATCTGCAATTTCCATTAAGTAAAGAGAGAGTTTTAATACACTCTTCAGATCTCATTTTATTATATCATTGGAAAAGATTGAATAAAGAGTTATATGTATTGAAAACATTCATTTCATTAAGAAGTTAGGGGCGTTAATTACGTAATAGATCTTAGGATTTTTGGATTTTTGCTCTTGATGATACACAGTGATATTTTAAATTAAACCCTTCCTCCCTATCTGACATCACGTGTATTTTTAGTTTTAGTAAATTTGTTTTTTTTTTAATTCAGGTGAAAAGAAATGTATGTAATATTTACAACTCATTTCGTAACTTTTTGATAATCTACCCACCTCCTCTTTTTATCCACATATTTCATACGCAAATGACCAACATTATCAATTTTTCGTGGAGATTTTAAAAACCTAGCAATATTTTATATCATCTTCGTAAATCATTGTTAAATTTCAATATACCGTTGTGTAATGTTAAAAGTATTGCCGAATAATTACATATAAAATTGCGGGTCATTCGTAGTCAAAATTATACTGTTAGGAATTCATTAGAAAGTTGTCGGTGTGAATCGTGAACTCGTTACTCAGATAACAAAAGAAATAATAAAAAGTTAAAGTCGATGAATTTGATATGTAGATTTTGATTCAATGAAAATTATTTCATGTTCATATTCTAGTGCCACATCTTTACCAATAATATTGGTGTATTATAAATAAAGATGAATAGATGCTGTAATATTTCTCTACTGAACCCAGTAGAAAAAAAATTATAACTATTGTTTATTATTTCACAATTAAAAATTAATTTTCTAGAAAAATTGTAGAGTTACAATTTACCCTGTCAATAATACCTACTATTATCAATGCATCATTTTTACTTGCATCTGTATGTAATTTTGCATATTTAGAAGGTTTTGTTTCAACTAAACCCAGTCAATAATATTACAGCGAATCGAAATTTCTTGATAGTATAATTTCATATTACATGCCAAAAGTGACGGATCTGCACAGTTCTGTATATTGCCTCGGCTTGCTGGACAGTAACCGAAACAATATTATGCAAAACGATTTACATGTCCAATTCAGACAAAAAATAGTTTAATATCGTTAAAGATCCTAATGAAAAGCTCCTGTTACAATAAGCCCCTAGCTTCTCATATACATATTACTATTTATATGCAAAATTAAGAGCAGCCGATCTTAAATTTCATGGCAATTTTGAAAAATAGATTTTCTTCCTACTTTCCTAATCTAGTGCAACTTTGTTTCGTTTTTTTAAACATTTTCTATAATCTTTTAGGCAATTTTAATATTTTTTTAAAAAATTACAAATCCGATTTTTATCTCATCTTAACAGGAAGACGATTTAAGAAGAACAGTTGAAGAAAGTGCTTGTCTTCAAAGAACATACGAAAAATACATCGATATGTCGATCATCAATGAAGATTTCGATACTACTTTCAGGGCAGTCGCCGAAGCTTTGGAAGCTCTCAGTTCGGAGCACCAATGGGTTCCTGTAAACTGGATATATTAGCTGGTAAAAAATAAAAAAATATATATTTTGTAAATATAACGAATACGTGAAAGATTTTGTGGAATCATAAGAAGAGACCCTAAACTATAATCTTTTTTAGTTGTGTACCCATAATGACTCATACCTTTAACTTTTGTAGTTAAAAGTTGTCGTATCGTCGTATTGTTTATATTGCCAAGAGATAGTATATTCAACTTCGATTTCAATTATGATTCTAATATGAGTATAAATTTTCGAGCATTCGTACTATGAACAATGACATAACATTTAAACATTTTAAATAGATTATTTAAATATCTAATATAAAGAATTTCCAAAATTCGGAGTTCTATTTCAACCGTTTTTGAAAAACGAACTCGGATCATTTAGTGTAAAAACATTAAAGTTTTTTGTTATAAATACATATATTTTGTATATGCATATTGTTATGCAGAATTTTAACAGTGTTTTGAATTATTTTATAATATATAATAATAGTATTTGCAAAATTTAACAATACTACGTTAGATAAATCTTATTGATAAATAAAGACAA